TAATATGTTTTCTTTCAAGACAAGCGTGTGAGGCTTATCAGCCTACTATAAGTAAATTTTAGTTTAAAGGAATTGCTGTACTTGTGAGTTTCAACATATGTCTCTATCTTTTTGAATTGCTAGATTCAGGAACAGTAATACCTATAACTGTATATCATATTCATTCTAATAACGCTATATCTAACAAAACTACTTTAACATGTAACTGAATCTTGCTATTTGCGCCATCGACTGGTTCTAGTATTGTCCCTTCTTTTGCTATGAAGTTTATATGACACCCATAATATCTTTACAATATACTTCACGTCCACTCTTTAATTGTATGTAATAGATAAATATGTGGTTAACGGTGCTGGTGTCAAAGTTAGTAAAATAGTATACTACTACTAATTAACATGTAAGAACTTTGTAACTGTTTGTTTATCCAAATAAATAGAAAATAAAGTAGAGACATGAATCAAAGGTGGGCCGTGTAATCTTGTGCGATTTGATACACAATATAATACTCGGCAAAGAAAAAAAATTTATTCGGCTGAATAACATGGTTCAAATGACAAATATTCAGTTAAATTGGATGCATATAAATAATTGAACATGTACAGAGTACAGTGCACGTCAAGTTATAACAACAATCCATTTTAAACCTTATTACATTATAGTAAGGCTTAAATACAATTGTTGTGACATTGTGGTAACCCGACGACGCGCTGCTGTGTGTGCGCTTATTTCTTGGGCCAACCGAATAATTAATAATAATAATTATGTATTATTAGTAGTCTATTTAACTAGTACCTGGTACTTCTCTCTACATAATGACCAAACTCAGCCGTGCTTGGCTGTAGTTCAGTTTAATGTGTTTCCATACAAATATTAAAACAATAACGTACCTAAACACTTTCGTATAAAACAATCTACCGTGTCTATTATTTATTAATATTTATATATTTAATAATAATTATCGTCAACATTTCGTCATCTATCCTGCTCTAGGTAATTTAGACATATTTAATGTCAGCTTCAGAGAGGCACGATAATGCCCACTACGTATTTTTAATTGGTTTCCAGAGATCTTCCTCTGTTTACAAATAATGCCGCTGTCGGCAATGCCTGCGATCAAGCCGCGGTGTTTTTCATAAGCCGGTTTTCGTAGCGGCCGGCTTGGCAGCGCGGAATGTGATGGCGGCTCATGGTAGAGATAATCAATGTTATCTAAATATATAAGAATAACCGTCAATCGTCGAAGCTTAAATTAATCGTCAAAGTATTAGAAATGATTGTGAGAATGACTTTGATTTCTACGAATTCGATTTTAATTAGATATTAAAGTTTTTTCCTTAAAAACCTTATTGCTTACTACCTACTAATTTCTATTTATAATACTCTGCAATTTATAAATGCCTCAAATTCGGTTGCTTAGTTATTCGCCGGAGCTCCAGTAGAAATGGTGTTTGGCGTTTTAATCTGCAAATAAAATAAAAGTCGTTCAAAAACTTCTATTTAAAGGTTCTGACTGAAGATGTAATTTGCCAGTCGCGGAACGCCAGATCGGACAGTATGGTAAGACGTTCAACCTTACAAACTGTATACGGTAACTGAACCGGCGCCTTCTTAACTACTAACGCATACTTCTGTAACATGCTTCACGGATCTTACGTCAGATTTACACTGACCCTAAAGATTCAATAATTTTATCATATCCATATAAATGCCCCAAATTCAATTGTGAACTGACCAATAAGCTTTTATAAAATTTAATACGAAAAATACTGAAACCAATTTACATTTTGCCGATTATTATATACTATTTCGCTGACTCCTCATATTAAAATTGTATTTGATTTATTGAACTTCTCTGTGGAATAAAAAGTAGCCCGTGCCGAGTTTCTTGCCGGTTCTTGTCAGAGCAAGGTCTCCGCCCTAAATTTGCGAACCGATAGAGTTTTCGACTTTCACAGGTGCTAGTAATAGCCTTGACTGAATAAATAGTATTAAATTTGAATGTATTAAAGTACCTATCAGGCTACGGTACGATAGCCACCATACAAGTGCAGCAGGATGGGGTGGGGATGCTGTCTTTGACCATCTCTCCTTTACTGTTGATCACCCACATGGTCCGCTCCATCATCTTTTGCTGACAAGTTGCTCTGTATTTATCGGGGAACAGTGCTATGTCCGAACAGGCTTGGTCAGTCTTACTGAAAAATAAAGTACATGTTTATAAGTAATTACACTTAAACCTTTACAATATTGATTTCTCCGGTCCATAAATTACGTAAGGTGTTTTTTAAATTTTCTGTCCCTCCCTCCCCCTCTGGTGAGATGTCGTGAGATTTTATTCAACCCCCTCCCCCATCCTCCAATCTCACGTGAGATTTTTCAAAATGCAATTTGATGAGTACTTGCGATTATTTGCCTTGTTGTAGTATCGAGTACTCAGTATCGAGTATCGCTTTTGAAAGTTTCGATACCTACTCGGTATCGAAAGTATCGTTCGAACCCTACAAATATGGTGGTTTGACATTCAGTAGATGTATAGCGTCGAAGTATGAATGAAATTATTTTCTTTTGAACGAATTAGTGAATGATCTTAATCGTATACGAGTACGCTTAAGGTTAAATCTTAAGCATGTACAATCTGGATTAAATGGACCAAAATAGTATATATTTTTTTGTTTCAATCAGAAAAAGTTGCGTGATATTTGCCGAGACCCCCCCTCTCTCAAACGTAAGATTAGATGAGATTTGGCTCGACCCCCTCCCCCCCTTAAACTCGTTAATATATGTTGTGGCTATATATTTTGTTTCATTTCACTACTTTGACTAAACTTATTAACGACGAATGCTATAGGATTTGATAGCACTGGTAATCCAAATTTATACACCAAATTATTTTTCAAAGTATTAATATGAAACGAAATATTATCATATTCGTTAAGATGTCGTATCTTATGTCTAGAGAGTTAGGACGTCTAGTATAAATTTGTATTTACAATCATATGAATAAATTTTTATACATACACACACTGTTCTCCCGTAAATCCTTGCAGTGGTTCATTGTCTTTGTTCACAATGAACATCCATTTGCCATTCATGTTCTTGCCTGCTTTAGGATACGAAACCTGGAAACAATACATGTATATGTAATTTTCATCTTTATTGAATGTTTTAATATTTGAAAAAATATTTCTTTCGGCTGTTTAGATGGATTGTCTGAACATTGATGAAAATACACTCTGCAGTAGCGAAAAGTAAAAGTGCTTGAAAAATTCCTCAGTCCTGTTAGGTCCTGGGTAGCTCAGTGGTTAGAGCAGTCGCCCGGATCGCGAAAGGTCATGGGTTCGAGTCCCATCTCAGAGTGCCAAAGACAAAGTGGATTTTTAAACATATTTCATTAAGAATATATTTAATAGTCAATCGGCGAACGTCAAGGTCTGCTACCTTGTTCGAAGGTCTTATGTATGTCAATAAATTCTTAGTAAATAATGACAAATAGTGTCCATAACATATATGGGAAGATCTTAGTGTGCCTGCTAACTAGACGGTAGGCAGAAACACGATACACTACGTATAAATTTGAATTACATGTCAAAAAATTATGACTAATTAATTAGTGACTTCTATACTACGAACTTTCATTTTACTCACTTCGATAGAAATCGAGCTATTTCTGATTATTTAGTTGCCTGCTAAATTGACGCTTAAGTAACGGCAATTTCAAACAAACAGGTAGGAATTTGAAGCTAATAAATAGACAAAACAATTGTGATTCTCGTGATACATATAAGCCCAAAGATTTCTTCTTTATTGCTCTTTATAAATAATAAAAATACTTCTTCATACTAAATGTTCATGGATGCTTGCGATTAATTTTAAATTTCTTTGGGCTGCAATAAGGTTCAAAAGTATTTTTAGTGATGTGATGAGTACCATCGAGTAAAAAAGTGTTAATGGTAATCGGCCTTAATTTTTATGTAAAACAATTTTTGGACTAATAAATCACAAGTTTTATAATATTTTTGAATAATTATAAATCAGTCATAATTACGTAATATAAAAGGTAATTTTATAATTATTAACATAATTACCAACTAATGTCCTGATTTTGTTGACATAATTTTCAATCATAAGTAAACGCATAGAACCAGAACTATTACTATTTCATTCACAAGTATTATGCCAAAACGCGTGGTTAGAACAGTAGCCCGGATTGCGAAAGGTCTTAGGTTCGAGTCCCATCTGTCATCAGAGTGGATTTATAAGTATTTTTCATTAAGAATATTAATGGCATATTATAAAATTCAGCTTCCCGGGCTTAATTACTAATTATAAATGGCTATAAAAATAAATGTTTGGATGGCTGTGTTTGTCTATTTTATAGTATACTCATGTGCTGCTGAGTATACCAATGGGTTGAAGCGAATAAAATTTAGTCAAATAATATTATTATTTTTTTATAAACGTAGACATCCGTTTTTGCGTTTGAGATACGTATCTATAAAGTAGATTTGGTAGATGTTTTTCGAAGATGGCTTATCATTAATAATAATACGTTTTATGATCATTATTACCCATTCAATATGTTCGCACAATTCAATGCTCTCTTCACCGGGCCCCCTTCGCTGAGCGATCTCTGGAGTTATAACATCCAGGTTAAATCTGTTTGGTTTGTCCTTTATCTGAAAATAATAATAAAATTTGATATAAATAAATAATATCATCTTTTTAAAGATACAAGATACTATTTTTGGGAGGTCGATAGTTTGACAAAAACTGGATTAGTTACCCTTTACCACAGAATAGCAAGTGGAGCGTGGTATCTTTACTTTCTATGAGATTTATTTAATTTGAAATGCATGTTCATCGCATCCAGCAACTGAATTTTGAAGCAATTATGCTCAATCAATTAATCTGAAATTTTACATAGGTATAGATTTACTTTAGATGACAATGAATGCACACATTTAAATCACATAATTTTACGTCTAATATGCCGCTCAACCCAAGATGGCGGCATAATTATTTTTTGTATACTATCGTGGTATAGGCATCATATTAAATAGTTGTCTGAGATTACTAAAATACAATATGTAATAATACAATATGGTGAACCCAAATGGCGGACTAGTTATGTAAGTTATTAAATTGTATGTTACTCATTTTCTTTCTCAGTTCATAATGAAGCATATGCATATTTACCTTATCGAGTAGTGTGTTGACATGGTCGTGTGGGTAGTTGGGTATAGTCTCGCAGATGGTCTTGCCTTCGCACTCCTTTGGTATCTCCGGTACAAACGCCGACCGGGATGTCGGCCCTGGGAACACAACGCTGTCCAAATCCACGGGATTGCCTGCAGTACACAACAATTGTATCTTAAATAATCTAATTAAATAAGACGCTTAAAAAGTCCTGATTTTTACTTAAACGGGATAAACACTCTTAATCGAAACTAAAACAAAATACTTATCACTCCATAACCATTTTCATGTAAAATGTTGCCAAGCCAAGACCATATGACTCGCAAAGTTATAAGATTTCTTGTACAACACATCTTCTAATTCTACAAGTTCTAACAAAAAAATCTTTACAACTTAGAAAATAATGTGACTTTGCCGTTTCTCTATCATGAAATGAGCATAAGGTAAACCATTTATCCACTGTTCATTATTTTTCTGATCGACCATAGTTCTTATAGAAAGGAAACGGTCTACTCACATGTATTGATTAAGTTTGTGAAATTAGAGCTTGCAGAGTAAGGCCATGTAGAGTTAGAAGTTAAAAATTTTCAGTTGTCTGTTATATATTAGCTTCCCTACCAAATTTCAGCTTTCTATTACGTGACTTTTAAGTATCAATAAAATCTAAAGTATAAAAATATAAATTTGAAACTTTGCATGTATAATAAGTCCACTATTGACATCTATCTTATCCTGTGAATTTTATTTGTCTGATTTAATCCAAAAACTTATGAGGGCTCTTGCTAGCTCTTGCTCTTCATTCGGCTCGTCTTGGCGGGCCCTTAACGTGATAATATGTAAAAATATTTCTTTTGTTTGTTTAGAACAATTAACTGAACATTAATGAAAATGCGCACTCACATCTCAACCCCTTCCAATGAATATATTTTTACAATGACCTCCTTAATCATCATTTTACTAAACATATGGAAAAGATACGATAGCTGGTGCTATGATTTTTTATTTTCTATGTTTCTTTTATAACGTACAAGATGATCACTTATACAAATACGATATATTAATATAAAAATTTGTACATGGTTTGATTTCAATATACAACCTGGCAATCTATAAAACTAGTAGTTTGTGATCGTGTGCGATTTCTTGCGCAATCCCATTGCATATATTCACGACTGCAAACATATAGTACTAAAATCATAAACTACTAACTTATCAAGTTGAACAGATTATCTATGACCTTATCATTATTTAAATTAGGATATTAATCCTTCGTCGGAGTATGTAATCAGTAAACATTAATTCTAGGTAACGGCAGTAATGACTTTGGTAAGTCTCTGCAAATAACGGATTTAGAATGTGGTGGTATGAGTGCCCAGGAGACTCTATGGTAGACAGAGTTTTTAAAGCATGTAAGCGTTCTAAGAGCGTTCTGTAAAGATGACTTTTCTGTTTGAGACTAATAAAAAAAAGTAACCAAACATGGAAAAGTATCCTAAATTCGGAATACTGAAATTACTTCTTCAATAATTATTATTTATAAAATAAGCGAATTCGCAAACTCATTACTGATTCTCTGTACTTATTGCAAAAAGCAAAAAAAAAATGCTTTGTCTACATAAAATATAATATTTGTCTTATAGAACTACTACATGACAGGTATAACGTTTTTATCAATTGTACTTCATGTTTTATGAATTAGTCACAATGTATATTATTATAGTATTGGTCTGCTTAAACATCATCGATACTTATAAAAGATTTACATGTTAATTATTTGAAATTGTGTGTGTATATTTAATGTTAGTCACTATGCTATATGGGATGACTCATGCATGTCACAATTACCTTGCCATATTTGCCTATGCTGGATTCTCAACTTTTGCAAGATCTCAGTAGATAACCGGTTTTTATCGAATATAATGATTTTTTAAATATTAAAATAATGAATACTTTAATATTGACGGCACTAATTAGTAATTGTATACCGAAGTAGTTATCATTAACATTAAGAAATGCCGTGACAATTATAGAGAAAGGTATTTTGTATACGATGTAACATATTATGAAAATGCCACATTTAGCAATGAATCTCTCAAAAGTATTTGCTATGATTTCCGAAAGTTTTAAAAATACATATTCTGTGTGATTTGCTATTGAATAATATATAAAGACTAATAAAATGTTAATCTTTACGAATAACAGGTCTTAATCAGCGTACAGGGATGCAACCCGACCATCTAAATTTCTAGCCATAACTCTTGCCATAGGATACAACACGTATTTAGCGAATATTGTGACGATATTTCGTTACTACTTGGCTTGTATTTGTTAAAAACGACGAGCGAATATATGGATGGATTTACGACAGTGTTAACAACTTAGTTATTTATTCTAACTTTATCCACCAAAAGACATGTAAAAGTAGTTAATGAAACGAAGATATCGCCATAACATTACTAAGATGTCGTATCCTACACCTAGAGTTATGACAAAAGACAAAATAACTTTTTATAATCAGGCAAATCAATGGTGCAGTGTCTTAACAAAAACTGTGGTAGTCGAAACAGCCTTTTCCGTTGTGTTATATTGCGTCTAAAATACACTGGAGATATGTTGTTCATTTTCTTATTGGTTTTTGTTTTTGTTACATACATAAGAACTATTGTCTATGGCACCATTCATGTGCTCTATGTATGATTTATCCACATATACAACAGTTCTAAATAAGATCTTTAATTGATAGTGCAATTTCATTGATACTAATACTAGTAGAGAAAGTAATGAAGTGAAATTATGTCGATTCATTCAATGTTTATTTATCATATAGAGATTAAACATAGGCTAATAAATATATTCGCGATAGAAGCACAAAAATATCTATGTTGTGCCCCAGTCGTGAAGCATGCGCCGTGAATACTTTGTCATATGTACATATTTCGATTTTTCACTAGCATTCGTCGCGTGTGCTCGTTGCGTGGCAGCACACGTGTGACCTCATCATGACATGCGTTTTCCAAATGGACAGACGAGTATTATTTATCTACTGATTGAAACGCGAGTATCGTTGTAGATGTAGTATTTGTTGCGATGACTGCACATGCCTCTACCGAAGTGATGAATGTAACGTGCCTTGGGTCATTTGAGTTAAGGCATGTGCAGTCAACAGCATCATAATTAAAAAGCCTCGGAATGGAGTGACTGCATACGATATTAAATCTTATTTTCACCTACGCGAATGACTGGGCAATGTCGCGGGAAAACAGCTAGAATAATATAAAATACAGACCTCGTCTTTTGCCGATTTTAACAGAAATGTTTCCATTTCTTGGCTCCGCGTCATCATTCCTTGACCACTCTTGAGCTTGTACTCTTTGGGAACTGCTTCTGAACGGTATGGACCTCTCGCTCGGCACCCTGTCATATCGGTCATACACGTCAACGTTCCTGGTGTCTATACGTCGTTCCAGCGTTGATCGTTGGTCATTTGATTGGTCATAAGTTGGTTGTTGGTGAATTGATCGTGGGTAGCCCGAAAAATCGTAGTAGCCCGAGTAAGGAGGTATCTGTCTGTAAGCTGAGACTGCGACCTGGAAAAAGAGTAAATACATTTAAAGACTCCAGAAAAATTTGTACTTAGTAATTCAATTTTTAACTTTAGAAACACCAAAATCAAGTACATATCAATATATTAATTAATTCCATTTAGTCCATCTGAGACTGGACAATTTTATTAATTTCGGTTGAGATAAAATCAATATAGCATAGTGACTGCTAAATTTATGAAATATAATAAGATAATATATTTTTTCACTGTAAGTGATGACTGAAATAATTCGGTTTCTAAAAGAAAAGATGTCCAGAAAAATAATAGTTTTAAAATATATATAAGCGCGTCTGACTGGAAGACCTCGTTTTTAAAAGATAAGCCCGCCCGCTTGAAATGAACTGGCGTCACCAGTATATTGGTTGTGTTTCAGTGTTGATATGCAATAGTATTTTTATAAGTGTTATGTTCTATAGAATTAATTTAAATTTAGACATGATAGCACGTGCCGAGTTAATACTTATGAAAATTGCAGTACCGAATAAAAAAAATAGTGGCAGAGCACCGATACTTCTCCAGATAGGCAACATGAAGTCATACATACATACAACCGGTTCTAAAAATATATACAAACACATACACGTGATACGCTCCGTATTCTCATACAACGATATTGTTATAAAATGTACTAAGTTCAATTATTAAACAACCTCGAAGTTAAACTACGTACATAGATTCTTCTTTTTTAAATTTAAACTTGTATTAATAATGACCCAGTGACAATTATGAAATTAATAATAAACCTATTCCCGCTTTCCTAAACAAAATTATATTAGGGTTCCGTAGTAACAAGTAACCCTTACAGTTTCGTCATGTCCGTTTATCCATCTGTCCGTCCGCAGTTTAGCTCAAGATCCAGTGATACTAGAAAGTTGTGATTTGACACGAGTATATACGTTAATTCCTAAAAAACTTTGTAAAAAAAAATAATACGGGTGCCTCCCCTACAAGTGGATGTGATAAACATTGTTTCGAGGTCCGCATCGTTGAATAGGTCTCTCAAAAGCAGTGGGGGTGTGGGAAGACCATTTCTAGTTTTAGTAAAACGCTTGTCCCCCTCTCTCTACCAACTAAACGATCATTGGTAAAAATTCAAACTTTACGAATACGAAGTTAAAATGAAAATTATCACACTAAAGTTGTCTTTACAAGTTTACAAGTAACAGTCGACTAATTATATTTTACTCAAAAATTTCAAACAACTTTATAGAAAACAACAAACGTGATTTTTTTTTTACTTTTATGATGGATGATACGGAACCCTTCGTGCGCGATTTCGACTTGCACTTGGCCGGTTTATTTATTTTTCTACGGTCGTGCTCAGTAAAAAACATTTGCTTGCCTGTAAAAATTCTCTATAATTTTTAAAATTATAGAGTTTCTCTATATTTTCACTTATATGACTTTACTTATATGATTTCACTCTAACTCAAGATTTGACTGGACTGTTTTAGGGTTCCGAACCTAAAGGGTAAAAATTGTGTGCAATTACTAAGATGCCGCTGTCCGTCTGTCTTTCACCAGGCTGTTTCATCATGAATTTGATTAAAATAAAAAGCGTATGAACTGAGAAATTTTCACAGATGATGTATTTTTGTTGCTGGTATATCAACAAATATTAAAATGTAATTTGGAAAAGTGAAATGATACGGAAACCCTGTAAATAATTTTTGTTGGTTTCATATAGTGAAAACGTCCGAGCGGAGCTAGAAAGGCATCGTATATGTCTTCCAATTTGGAAAATATCCCCTTGTTTGCCATTCTTTGGACAGTTTTATCTTTATCGGGACCGGTGTACCCGAGTGGCCGAACTGCGAGCTCGTTTCTGCGATTCCCAGATATTTATCATTAATGCATATTTGTCTTAACCATCATTTAAATTTGCATATATTTTTACTCGTTTGATAATTATAGTTATAGATAGTACCTAACTAAATATATTTTTGCATTACATATTTTGCAGACTAAGAATTATCAAAACTCCCTATAAGAGACGTCTAAAAAGAATTATATATAACCATGGCGTTTCCCTCCCTTAAGTCATCTCACTAATAAATTGATGGCGCCTAAAAATAAGTAGATACCTATGATATAATTCAATGTAATGTATGAAGAGTCAGCCTTCTCTACCCACCATAACTATAACCGTGCTATTATATAATTTATCATTTAATATCAATCGTAACTATTAGCGAGGAACGTTCATTTTAATTTATAATTATAAAATAACCTAATCATCTTATATTCTAATGGTCCTTAGATAACCTACATGTAAGATTGCAGATTTTTTAGTTTTAATCGAAATATTTAATAATATAATAGGCTTTATCAACCATTCTCATTGTGAATTCAAAATCATTATGTATTACTCACTCAACGTTTTCCAAATTAGACTTTAATTTTATGGTAAAAAAATCTCAGGGTCTTTTTTTGCTTATATCAATTTGTGTTATGATTACTGAATGATGTGTAGAGTTAACAATGCCATAGTTCTACGTGTTGTTACCAAAACACCACTCTTACATACATAAAGATATTATGATATAGACGGTGTTTATAGAGTCATGTAAAAGTAATATTGTACTAAAAACTTATCTATACTAATTTTACAGAGAGGTAAAATTTCTATTTTTGTATGTTTGTAAGGGATAATCTTCAAAAATACTAATAGGGTATTTTTTTAAAGCCTTACATTTTTAAAAACAACTAATATTTAACAATATCAACCCAATCGAAGCTATGTAGTAACACGGTACCTAGGATTGCTGAAGGTTAGGGGTCGTCGATCCATAATAAATTTATTAAGCTTATAGGGATGACGACTAATTTTTGTTTGTTTGTCCGTCAGGTAGAGTGTTAAAAATATTAAACACGTATTCTTTTATACGTGTTTAATATTTGCTAGTTTATAGTTTATATCGCTGGATGCGGGAGGCGCAGGACCGATCGCTTTGGAAATCTTTGAGGGAGGCCTATGTCCAGCAGTGGGCGTCTCTCGGCTGAAGTGATGATGATGATGATGATGATTCTTTTATTATTTTCGTAATCATAAAATTACGGCGTTACATGGAGTTGAAATTTCGCATGACGTCACGTCATGATACGTTTTCTACTAAACTGTGACGTAGCGAGCCCCCACTCCTCAGCTTTAATGCCTCTTATCTAAGCTATTTCTTGTTAAATTGAAATAAAAATAAATACGTATCTAATATTTTTCTATTATCTGACTGACGGACTAAATGGAATTGCATTTTTTTTACCCAGTCATGACGACTATTGTAATCTGTTGTAATAATTAGTATGACATATAAATAAATTAATGTTTGCTTATATTATTTTATACAATTGTGTAAACAGTGATTTGAAATTGGGATGAGCTAAGAACGCTGATGGGATGAACAAGGAATTCAAAATTGTCGGTTGAGTGCAGAACAAAAATAGGATGAGTAAGGAAAGATAATGCACAGGATGAGACGTCATAGGATGAATACGGAACAACCCTGATTTTTACCACAAATATTAATAAGATAAATTAATTATAATTTCTACGAACCCACTTGATAGTAAGTGTTATAAATAACCATTATAACCGCTAAATGCACCATCTGCTTAAGTTTTCCTTGATAATGTTAATGAAGGCCAAATATGTAATTATATTAATCATTGTCATTAGTTAATAATTGCGCAAATGGGTTATTGGCGGTCGTCATAAGGAAATCATATTTTCTTTTATATTACATATATTATTATAATATGTCAAGTTTAAGAGTAACTGCGTTAACATACAAGTAAACAAACATATATTTATTTAATAAAAGGTCTAATAAATTAAAACTACCTTATCTAAACTATGTCTTAAAATAATAACTATACTAAATAAAAAATGTCTCCCAGATCATTGCCTACAGATAAGGTACCCAGAAGGCTGCGAGCGTTACCTCTTTGAATAGCTAAACTAATTCTTTGGGCGAGGTACAAACCAGCCCTCTGATCGCCTGACCTGTCAAAAAGTTTCTTTTTTAACTCTTATATATAATATATATACCTATATGTGTTTTTGTATTCCGATTTTTTAAAGATTACTAACGGTCGATTTTATAACTAAAACTCTTCTGAATTTTATGGTACTGGTCATTACTTTATATTTATAGCATCTTCGCAGTTTTCATATCTTGTTTCATTTTGCCCCGGATATATATACCATATTACTTTGAAAATAACAGTTAAGAAGCATTTCTGCGATCTGTGGAGAGTCGAGTAGGTATAAAGAAGGTATCATACCAACCACATACATCTTTACAGCTATAGCAATGTTTACTATCCCACTCGACTTCTAACGTAATATTTTAAGATCTGTCGAAGTCGATTGCCCGTTTGGAACCACTATTATTAATATGGATTTTTGAACCAGTTTACAACTGTCACTCGTACTGAGGATTTTCGGTTGGCTGTGATTTTGAAATATAGCAGTTTGTTACACATAGCCTTCTTTTCAAGCGCACTATTAAAAGACTAGAAATGCGGACTGCAACATACCCATGCAGATTTGTATTTTCAGCTACACCCAAACCAGCATTACAAACTTTTTTGTCTCGCTGCGCAGAGGTATTTTAAAATGGCTAAGATACTTGTTTGTTTATGATTACATATTATGGAAATCCGATAATATTGGATTATTTTTTCATTTTTCATTAATTTGGCTAAAGTATGACATTAACCGTTGAAATTGTTTGAAAAATGCCTTATAACATGTAAATTGCACTCACGTAAAGTCGCTGTCGCTAGTTGGTACCTATTTCTATACTAATGTTATAAAGAGTATGATTTTATTGTGTGTTTGCATCAATTAGCCTATTTTAAAAATTTAAAGCTATACTTTACGGCGGGCGAAGTCGCGAGAAAACAGCTAGGAAAATATATAAAGAACCTATTGATGTTGTTTCTGAAACCAGTCACCTTTCAACTGTTCTTGGAATGGGAAGTGATTAAAATATTTAAACTTTAATTCTCTGTTCATTTCCTTTTATGATTTTACTTTTGAAACGTAGTACCTACCTTTCTACGTACATTACGCACGTGTTGACATTTAATTTGTGGGGGTCAACGAACTAGTCGATTGTTTCCGATAATCTTAATCAATAAAATATCAATCCGGGTGATAATTTCATTTATTTAATTCTTCAAAGTGAAGTGTAGACTTTTCATAAAAACATTTTATTGTAAAGCTAAGTACTATTTTGTTTCTAAATATTGATATTTGAAGTTAACGTTGTTATTTTTTATTATTTAAATCCACGGTGGGCAACAGACGGTCCGCAAGACATTTCGAAAAACCTAATTTATAAAAACATTGTCGTATTATTTCATGTGTCATATCTATTGCAAAAAAATATGGTCACTACAACACTTTTAAACGCAGCCCGCGAACGCATTTGCACACTAAAGTTTGGCCCACAACATGTCCAAGGTTGCCCATACCTGATTTAAATTATAGCTTAAGGCAACCATGCATGATAAAACTGTAATCTTTGAGCTACCCGTAAGTGAAAGAGTTTCTAAAATCGGTGGAGTAATTTCGGAGCCTATTCGTTACAAATAAACAATCAAATCATTCCTCTTGTAGCAGATATCTACCATAGCAAGTTAACAAACAGCATCCTAAGTAAAATTTTGCCTTACTATATTCTGTAATAGGCAAAATTAGACGGATGACCTTTTTCTAAATGACTTCAATTTGTTTTGTGTACTAGCCAGTATTATATCACGACCTCTCCGCACAGGCAGCCCAGCAGCGTTTGATAGCCGGTTTCAAAGTGTCGAAGTCACTGAGGTTCCGAGTTCGATTCCCTATTGGTACAATATATACAATAAACTTTCCTATACTATCTCGGGTCTAGGTTGTCTTACCTTGTTTCAGATTTGAGATCTGAGCAAATTATATATTCCTAATGCCTTCGGCCGGTAATCGAATCCGTGTATGCTGCAAATGTTACCAACCTATCCAAGGTCATCGCTAATATTAATACGCAAATTTTTATCAACTATTAATATAACAGGTAGAAAGCTGTTCAATTAAATGATCGAGCAGCGTCTGAGTACGTTCACAACCGGTTGTATTAAATGTTGCGGACAAAATGAAGGATATTTAATGAATCTTGTTATTTAAGAGAAAAAAGTTGTGTGAAGATATTTCTTAGTCAATTGTTTACACTAAATCTAATATTTTGCACGTTAATGTGTTTTAGTAAAAAAGAAGAAGTACCTCTTCATAAATGTAATGTAATGAGTTCCTTAATTATTATATTACTCGTTAATTAGGTAAGTGTGTCATTACCTAACGTACGAAATATGTCACGATTTAATGGACTTATGGATGATAAATTATTAAGTAAATATTAAATAATAAATAGTTTTTTTTTTTTTTATTGAAAAATCTGCATAGTGTTATTTACACCAGATAAAAGCGAACATTTTAACCACCCGACTTCAAATGAAGTTCCTAATCGCCTTAGTAGTTGTTCAGGATTACTTTTCGATATTTTTTGTCGGTTTTAGTTTTTTTGAGAAACATACTCTTAATTTAATTTTAAAATTGCTGGTGATAAACGTGATGGAAACTTAGTATGTTCTAATTTTTCTAGTTCACAAAGAAAAACTATCATCAACGTCGAAAATATGAAAATGGAACCACACGTATAACAAGCATCAGCATTCGAATATTAACAAGAATCATCAAAAGATACACAAAACACAGTCAAATTGCGTCCTTTCCTGAATTTAAAGTAATTTAAAAATATAGATATTTATATTGTAAAGTTAATAAATAGTTTGATTTAATAGACGTGTTTTAGACCATCTCTACAACAGAGTCTTAGAGTATACATTGTCAACATATCGTCCAGACATTATAAACAATGAATGAATGATATTTTAGTCCGTAACATTTTAATATGACGTCTAGACAGTTTGCTTTTCCTACTTGCGGTCACAGCCATCGCATTTCGTAATCTGTACGGAAGTCGTAAGCATAATATGCGCCGTGTCCTTTTTAAAACAACAACATAAATTCAAAGGTAAATACATATCTTATAGATAAAGACCAATTAACGACTTGAATAATCCTCATCATCTAAAAATAGACGTTTATAAATAAGTATATCGCAATATTTCTACACGATTTTATTCAAATGAGGTGATGCAGGCAGTCCGTACAATATTTTATATTTGTAGAATAATCATTTGTAATAATAGTAATACATCATTGCGTTACTAATGTAATTAATTTGCTTCTAGAATATGTAATATATTCTAGAAGCAAATTAATAAATATCTTTTTATTATTGTACGAGGGAAACCGCAATCGAAGTATGTGTCCATTATTGTTATAATAAGAAGTGTTAAGTACTCATATCACCTAGAACATTGAGTATACTAGACAGTATATGTAGACACCGGTATCACTAGCATTAAAGACCGAAGAAAGTAACAAACCACTTTTACTTTTCATACGAGTTAGCGGACTTTATTTGTACACGGAACAGGACAAAGACGCTTCAAGTAGGTAATCTATGCACAGGATTTTTGTTTTTATAAACTTACCAATGCGAGCCCGATGATTGATATATGTTTCCACACCATAGTTTAAACGTTATGGATAGCACATACACATATTGTCACTGCACAAACCACAACCGGACTACGGTTAAACAATGTTATTTACATGTTGATTTTTCCTTTTATATGCATTTCGTTTTGACGTAGGGTGGCACGCCGAAATATCGATATTTCATTTACACTTGCACCTTCGATGAAGGTCTGATGACAACTGACGTCCGGCAGTCAAGTTACGAACACTGTCACAACAACGATATAGCAAAGACCCCGCTTTAACTTGTGGTTTCCTATCAACCGTCCAAGCTAAAGTGGTCGAAGAGTGGGGGGTCTTTACAAGTCGTTCATACTAAAGGACAGCTGTTCGATATTTAAATGAGCCCATTCACTTTCAAGTTCAAAGTTCGTTGTTTTGCATAAATGTTAATAGTTTTATGTTTTATCGATAAGTTGGTACGAAATGACTGTTGCAAACCTAAATATTTGATTAAAATAATTGGATCATTAATGCAGTCACAAAATAGTAAGTTTATTTTTTTATCGTATAGGAATAATAATAATATTAATTGATAGAACAAAATATTTCAAACTAAATAGGAACAAGTAATTATAGTTAATTTATTTAATTAAAATTATAAATAGGAAAATTGATAAGTAGACATTATGGTTTGGTCTATCGTTGGTATGTGAATTAATACTTTTACTGCTCGGAAAAACATAAATATATTACAATAACTTTATCTCTACCTAACTACCTGTGTTCCCTGAAATGAGCAGTTCAGGTGAAAGGTGAAAGAAATTTCATGATCTTAGCAGTATTTCCGAAGATTACCATTTTGTAGCGTTGCCGTGACCTGCACATCTCCTGCACCTCAAAAAACAGCATTTTGACTAAATCGACATTGAAGTTTTTTAAGGTTTTGGTTTTTAACGCTGTTTTAGACAGAAATATTTAGACAAAGGGAAAAAAAAATTAATTTATAATTATTTTAGCAGTTAGAGCAATTCAATTAGGCGTTACAACTCTTACATAAACAATCTATGATCCGCCCTGCTGCATCTTTAGTTATATGAGTTTTACATTATAACACTTTATGTGTTGTAAACTAAGTTATTTATTGCATCTAATAGTTGCACGAACTTGCCGTTGTACAGAATTAACTATGAGAACAAAGGGAATGTTATAGATAATAAAACAACTTTGAAAATAAATCAACTTTTCTGCACAATGTGGCTTCAATATTTTTTTTATTATATTTCTCCTCTTCTAGATTCGGTTAATCTTGTTATTGGTTTCTTTTATTTTATTGACATGTATTTGTTTACTTACGTTTAATTTGTTATTTGATACATTTTCTTTCTTAATAGATTTATCGGATAGTTATTTTGTTTGATTGACTTGATGAGATTTCTTTTCTTTTTATGTTAGAGTTTTCAGACAGAAAACTTGAATTTTCGTCTCTTTCTTGACCTTACACTTTTATGATTTCTTTTTCATTTGTTTGATTTTGATCGAGTATAACGCTACTGGTTTGTCGGTGATTGCTTTATTTTGCTTTATTTATCATTTTTTTCATCTCATTTTTAATTATATTATCTTTAACTACTAACTCTAACTATAACGAGTGAGTAAAGAAATTGCAAGCTAGTTTCTTAAAGAATGAAGAACGTTTATAAAAGTAAACATATACTTCGACTGTACATTAACCAAAAAATAAAATAAACAGAATACGATTTCAAGAAGATGAATCCAGCTTCCAAAAATGTTCCTTGATTGTTTAACAAAAGACTGATTGGGTGAAAAGTGATTATGCGCGTCTAATGATCCCTAAGGAAAGTTATGGGAAGACCTCAAATCGCGGAACGTATTAGGAGAATGAAAAACGAAGTTTCCTTTAAGATATTGCGGTATTGCCTAAGATTTTCGTGAGTTAACTTCAGACCATGTCGTCGACTCGAATCAAAATATGCTGAAAAACTCGTTAGTGGTGGCAATTACCTTTGTCAGTCCGAATTGTTGGAAATCATCTTCATACATGTGATAGAAAGAAAAGACAGAAAGTTAAATTGAATTAATGAAGATAGTGAAAATAGGAGAGGAGACAAAACACCACCCTGCGGAACTCCGGAAGTTGTGTCGCACCAATATAAGAAGTAGTTTACAGGTAACTATGAATTCAATCAATCACCGGTAGAGATATATTGAAAGAAACCAATACTGCTAGTAATATGTCAAAATCCACAACATTGAACGCATTACTAAAGTCTAACATATAGTCAATTTTCGATTTACGATACACTCGTATACATGATCTACAATCGTTACAAGTGCAGTAGGCACTAGTCATAGAGATCAAGGGAAAGACTTTTGATACGTGTATCCTCCCGTGCAACCATATATTGCTGGCGAAACCTGGGCTTTGGCAAAACAATAAAGAGAAGAAAACTTTGCAAGAAGCCAGAGAAGCATGGAGAAAAGTATGCTCTGTAGGTATTAAACAAATGGATAAAGTCAGGAGTATAAATATATGGTGCAAAACAAGACTGATTAACATCTTAACTCGAATCGATCAACTCAAATGGAGATGAACTGGACACATGTTTCGAGTAAAAGGGTGGTCCTGGGCATGTTGCAAGACCCTAAGGTCACCAAAGGATAGGTGGATGACTTAAGATTGACTTTAGGTCCCCTTTGGCTAAGAGTAGCTGTAGATCGTATTCAGCAGAGGATGTTTGAAGAGACCTTTGCCATATATAAGGCAGACCGAACAAGATTATATTATTATGTAGAGCTAAAAGTACTTATTTTATTTATGTAAATGTTCGGAAATAAAAGGCTTTCTTATTATTATTATTAATCTTCGCGTAATGCTGATTGTAATCAAACAAACGAAAGCAAGCGCACGCACCGAACTATCAATCAGCCAGCTCATGCTAGATGTTGTCTCCAGCAAATTCAGTTGCCGGATGTAAATTAGCGGATATATTATTTGAAGGAAGTAATGCACATCTCCTGCAATACAACAAACTACAAATGTGCGTTTAAGCCTCGTTAAATTTTGTTCCAGTTGCATAAGTTAGGTAGTATGCTATTACAAAAAGTACACAAAATTTTTAAAAAATGTTTCAGTATTATATAGTTCGGGGTAAGAAAATGCACTTGGCACCTGTTGGACGTAACTCAATACTCAATCGTTTATTGTAAGCCATAGTGTTACATAGATATTACAATTATAATTAAATACATACGATGGTCCCTGTCGGGCACAGCAACAATATATAGAGTTTATTATGTTTATACTCATCCTAAAATCAAATTATAATTTTATATAAATACTAAAATCTTATAAGTGCAATATATAATCCATTCTAAAGGATTATAAAAACTCCATATACAATATGCTTTATAAATCACATTGAAAATACAAATTAACATACCAATAATTACGTTTTATTTATAGATTAAAAATAATAATAAAATTGGCTAATAAATTTAATGAAATGATAAAAACAAATACATTTTTCTATAAAACAAATGTCAAAAAATCTAGTATTGTAAGAGATTTGTTATTAATAAATACATTTTATTATTTGTCAAGTAACAAAAATGTCAAAGTAGGAGTATCAAAAATTTATTGAATAAGATTAAAAAGTAATGGACTTACTATTATTATTATGGTTTATTTATTTGTAAAATTATCCATTTTATCCTTCAAAAATTCATTGGCGCCATAAAAACACTTATTTCTTAAAATACATTTTAATCGTTTTATAAATATTCTACGAGTATCACTTAATTCATTCTTTATTTGGTTCGGTGGTCTATTGTACATTTTTATGGACATGACAAGAGGGCTTGTCATGTCCATAAAAATGTATGGACATGACAAGCCCTCTTGTCATGTCCTTGATGAGTATAAACTTAGTCTAGAAACTGGCAAAATTAGTTTATTTTTGAGTTGCGTAGAATATTTTACTAGGGCATCTCCTCTTTTCCTATAATAGTCCTGATGTTAACGAACAAACTTACATAATTCTAATATATATATACTTGGCAGTGTTAGAATTTCATATTTTATAAAGACCCTACTTTATAAAATATGAAATTCTAACACTGCCAAGTATCAGTATAGTATAGCAGCTCTCTGTATTGTCAATACTTACAAGGATACACAACAGATTCTTTTCTTGTATGAAAATGGTTTATGCGTCCATACTGTTACCCCATAAGATGATACCAAGCGTACGCATAAGCATAATACATTGTTAGTGCAGTCTCTATATTAGTTGTTGTTTTTATCTCATAGAAGGCGTATATGAAGCAGCCAATTTTGGAACCCACCTATTGAACATGAGACCTCCAAGTCATACGATTGTCTATGGTTAATAGATCCATTAATTTATTCTTATTAAAGTTAACTTCTAAATTATGATCCACTGTGTTACTTTATGCAATAAGTCATCGAGTTGCGTAGGAAGATTATCTTTGCTCTGACATGACACAAGTAGATTTATATCATCATAGTACATATCATCCGCAAATAATACACATGGGCCAATCACAAATTTAGGAAGGTCATTTATGAAGACCAGGAATAATAAACATCCTTCTTTGAGAGATGGAAGCGTTTATTATTATACCACTCGATCTTATATTCCCAATTTGACTAGTTCCAGGGTCAAAATAATCTATTTCTACGAATTGTTCCCTATCCTTTAAGTATGACTTTAACCATTCATGTGCCTTTCCACGGATTCCGATTCCGTACAATTTGTTTAAAAGTAAATTATAGAGCACTTTATCATATGCTCTTGTCATATCCAGCAGTTATCTATAGAAAACTGACTTTCACGTGACACGATGAGCGGAGTGGCTAGCACACTGGTTACACGGTGTCGCCGTCTCTGAGATCTCGGTTGGATCATTGTAGAAAATTAACTTTTATTTATTGTGTGGAATGTTTCAAATCAAATGGAGGAATTTGACCCAATCGAGATCTCAAGAGATAGCGACAACTTAAAACCAGTGTGCGAGCCACTCCGCTACGAAGGCTATTAATGTACTTACATCTTACCATTAAAAACAAGTGCATGAAGAATTATAAAAAATCATATGAGTCGTTTCGCCATTTCGTGCAAAAACGCACATTCTCACGTAATGAAAAAAAAAGTAATATTCGATAAAATTGTACTATATTCTAAATATTATTATTCAGAATATATATATATATATATACATATATATAACTTTTAATTATATTTCAAACT